TTATCCGGATGAAAGAGAACACTCTAATGATTCGCTGAAAAATTCTAAGTCCGGATTTTTAGACTGACATACTTTACTGGACTGTTTTTGCTAGAAAAAATACTAAAATTCTGGAAGGAGACTCGGACCGAAAGTCACAAATCAATACGGACTCGAACTGCCGGTCGAACCGGCCAGTTCGCTGATTGGCCAGACCGGATCGGGCTGAACCGAGCGGTCAGGCGCTGGCTTGGGCTGACCGGTCTGGCACTGCTGGGTGCGGACAAGTGCGGCCAGAGGCTTCGGGCACGGGCCCTGGCACGACTGGTGACACTCGGGGTGCTGCCGGGAACTACCGAGGTCGACTGGGGCTTGGCGTGCGGCTGGGCACGACTGGACACGGCTGGGCTCGGAACAGACCCAGCTAGACACCACATGGGCTGGCACGGGCGCGACTGGTGCCACTCGGGCACTGCCGGGCGACCGTGAGGGCACTAGGCATTAAACCATTCTGCTGGGCACTGACCAAGGCCAACTAGACTCAGCAGACCCATCTCGGGTCGGCACTGGGCATGGCACAAAGCTCTGGAGCGAGACCTCATGCGCCGGGGCTGGTGGCGCCATGCACGCGGCTTGGGCACGACTGGTGCTGTTACCACGCGTGCTGGCACGGATCGCGCTGTCGGGTGCACTGGGCTGCTGTGCGTCGCGCTTTCGGGGCGCTGGCACGAGCAGGGACGACTTAACCTCTGAACACGGGGTCTGGGCACTGACAGACAATCCTAGCCTCTGAATGGCACGAGCCGGGCACGGGCGCACATATATCATGCGCGACCAGTGACCAGTGACCAGTCTCCTAGCCTCTGCATGCGCGACCAGTGACCATGGCCGGTCCTTACCGGTCATCCGGCTACTTTTCTGGGGACATGAAACATATATCAACTTATTATAATGAAAAAGACTTAAATATGCAAAGAAGCACTAGGAGACCTCGGGTCAATATGCATGTGGTTCGGTTGGACCGATAAGGCACGTACGAACACTAAGTCATCTTATCAACTACTCAATCTTCAACTTATGATCAAGGCCGAATACTTAGCAACATAAATCATGGTTTTTAAGGCTAACAAGATAGACTATACTCGCATGCATCATACTTTGGCTCGGGAGTGAAAAATGCTCTAAAATCATGTACTAGATGACCGAGCAAACGAACTCCAAACATGCTCAAATTTATACACCATCATAGACATGAATTATAAGGAGGATTAAGCTATCAAACTCGGTTTGACCATGCATGGAACTAAAAATTCGAAATTGAGGCCATTAACTCTTAAAATACGAAACTCATGATAAATCACGTGCATGGCTTGATTTTTCTTCATGATAAATCTTAAAATATCATGAATAAGCTGAAAAATAGAGATGGCTCGAGCTAACCTTCACCAAAATGCGAATATGGTTGCTAGGGCTTAAGCTCGGGCTAGGCGCGGCTTGAAAGGCTAGGACATGACTCGGGGTGGAAATGGCTGCAAATGATGAACTCCAGAGACTTATAAAAATCCAAAGAATGATTGGAAGTTGATAAGCCTCGAGATAAAATGGCTTGGAGATGGTTGGAGCTCGGTCCTTCTTCTTCTCGGGCCTAGGCGTGCATGGTAGGGCTTGGATGATAGCTCTCGACCTCCTCTCTATTCTCTCTATATGGGCGAGTGTTCTAAGTGTCAAGAGCTCACAATGGCTGAGAAATGAGCCTTAAATAGAGCTAAGGGGCGGAGTTTGCTAGGCATGGTCAATGGGAGACCAGTTTGAGTGGAAAATGCACTCTTCCATGCACATAGGAACTTGGTGTGGTCTTGCACGGTTTTTTTGGACTACTTGGTGGATTTTCAGAGCACTTGCGTCAAGGAATGGGTTCTAGTCATGTTTGGTCAACAGCACCATGAATGGGGAACAAAGCTTTCCACTATTGAATAAAATAATACTATGCCCATCACTCTACTTTGCACCCATGCTAGGTTGACTTCTCTTAAACTATGTTAGGGCCATATTAGCTTAAAATAACCTTCATTAAGCTGGTAATAACCGCATGAGGTTGGGCATGGAGGTTGTGGGCCGAAAATTCAAGAATTGGGCTCAAGAAGATGGGTTGTCGCGCTGCCAGCGCTGGGCCTGGGCGCTGGACCTCGCTGGGCTGGACGCGGCCTGCTGGGGCAGCACGGGATCCAGTTCCTCCACCACCGCGAACCCCAGTTAGATTCAGGCATGCTACACTTTTGAGTTATTAGGAGAACCCAAGTACTCTCTTTCGAATTCATGAAACAACTCTCAGAGATCTTTTTTCCGGTAGAGGAGCGCCTTATATATACAACGAGTATTTAGGCTGGGTGTGGCAGTGGCTCTGGGGGCCTGGGCGCGGCCTGCTGGGCTGAGCGCGCAGACTGCGTAGGCTGCTCACGTGAAATGACTTGGGATGAGTACATAGCTCCCTCTTGTGATAAAAAAAATACTTAAAAAAATATACTTATGTTTGTCCATGGCTTGGACACGACCTTGGGGCTCGGCTCGGACCTTGGGCGCGGGAAGGCTCGGCGTGAGGCTTGGCACGAGCGGGTTTGGACAATGCGGGTCTAGGGCTTGAACTTAGATACTTCATAACACTTAGAAATTATTCTAAGCATTATACTACTAAGGCTCGTCTATGACTTGGAAAAATACTCAGAGCGAAATTAGGGTTCGAGGCTAAATAATTCCTAGAGTCGAATAGATATTTCCTGTAAATCCAAATTAATGGATTGATCTTGGCCTTAACATGATGAAGAAAATTCCAAGGAATAATCTAACATACTTATAAATAATTGAGCACTTAGCATAATAACTAAATAACTTGGAATTTCTGGTAATACGGATTTCACTTATAGTCGAGCACTGAAACCGCTCTAATACTATTTCTGATCGGGGCGTTACAGGCTCATTCACATTGAGCTCCACCAACACCTTGACTACTTTTCCCAGAACCCCACCAGCACTAGGGATTTGGATATCAAGGATGTTAACTATTCTTTTACTTATCTTAAGATCAATATCTACAGAAATCCAGTGCAAGGGTAAATTCAATATATGAACCCAAATTTTATCAACTTCTTCCTCAGAGGAGAAGTCTTGAGATAAAGGATTCCTCCGTTTCAAAAAGATATATTGTCCATCAAAGGACCAAGCCTTTCCTTGCAGGATCCTGTCTCTATCATCCTTACACTGGAATAGGAATTTAAATTTATTGTTGCCTAGGTTTCTAAAAGCAAAGGGCTTTCTAGTAGTCCAAATACTACTCAATGTAGTTTTCGGACCACGGAAATTAGCCTTTTTTATGCCCCAAACTTTCCCAATAAGACTAAGTTGACACTCTTTAAGACTAGGAGCTACATCCTCCACAGAGGGTTCAACCCTTTTGTTCCTCCTTATCAGAAAGCATAAATCTATTAAGCTTTTCAACTTGATCCTAATCCATCTACACACTACAACAACCCTGGGAAAGCAAAAGCTAGATCCAAACTAAGATAGACAATCACCCACACACCAGCAAACCGACCACTCCCAAACACCACACAATTAAACAAAAGCATCAAAACAAGCAAACTGGAAAACCAAACACAAATCAAATTACCTAAATCTGAGGAATACAAACCATAAAACTGAGACCCTTGATAAGAAAAAGACAGAGAAGACGAAGCCCCTAAGCTACCACCAATAGAAGAAGACGGACCCTACTCTGAAGGCCTAAAGCAACAAAACCCCGAGAAGCCCTAATCTAAAGTCAGATAGCCAGAAACAACGACAGATAAGGGGAAAACAAGAACAAGACAAAAGATCCTAGAGATAAGATTGAGACCAAACATCTAAGCAAGGAAACACAAGAGGATTCTAAAGAGGGCCAAATCCAACGGGTGGAACTGAGATCTCAAGAGAGAACGCTAACCCTAGAAGGGATTGAATCAATTTAGCCATGATTATCCTTTACGGTTTTGAGGTGACTCAACCGCATAAATAAAGTTTCCTCTTTGGAATTTTTTTCTCTCTAGAGACCCGTTCCACTAGTCGGAATCTGCTTGTTTTTTGCTCTTTGATTTGCGTTTTATTTCTTCTTTGCTCTTCGATCTCTTTGTGTTAGTGTTTTCTTCTAGTTTATTCCTTGATGTGATTCTTTCTATTTAACTTTGTCTGAGGTTTTTGCAGTGTTAGTTTAATCTGCCATCGATGGATCTGCCAGATCTTTGTGTGCATCATCCTAATATACCTGTTCTTGTTTGCCCTTACCACTATATCTGTGTTAATTCCAAACTTCCCAGGAGCAGGTGAACCTATTCCCGTTAGGGGTTAAGGGTAGGGTTAGGGTTTGTATTTTGGGGGTTTTTAGTGCTATTTAGGGGTTTGGTTTTTGGGGTTGCTGGTTAGGGGTTTTGTTCTGGGATAAGTTTAGGAGTGTGGGGTTAGTTAATAGGATGGAACAAGAACTTGCAGATAAATTTTGCAAATTTGCGCTGTTGGAAAAAGAGGAGGAAGGAATTGAGCTTCTCGATGATGATGTGGCTCCGACGGTGCATGAATGTCAACTCAGTCTTCTGGGTAAAATCTACGGCAAGAAAAAGGCGAACTTCTATGGCCTCAAGACTACACTAGGATCAATTTGGATAACGAAGCAGCCGTTTGCTATTAAAAGGCTGGGAGACAATGTTTTCCAATTCCTATTTCAGTGTGTAGAGGATAGAGACAAGATACTCACTGGAAAAACTTGGAGCTTCGATGGGCAATACATTCTGTTAAAAAAATGGGCACCATGGGAGACTGTATTCATGGAAGCAGATGAACACATTAAAAGATGGGTGCAAATCCATAACATGCCGCTCCATTGGATCAGTGCAGAGACTGGCCTAAATATTGGGAGATTGATAGGCAAACCATTGGATGTTCAAGTGCCAGGAGCTTTTAGCCATTAGGGTAATCTTCTCAAAGTACTTGTGGAGATGCATATAAGGGGATCACTACTGAGAGGAAGTAAAATAAAGCTGGGAACTGATAGCAAGTGGGTGGATTCAGGTATGAAAGTCTCCAAAGCTTTTGTTTTTATTGTGGTCGATTAGGGCACAGTGATAAAAACTGTGATTCTAAAAAAGAGGATGTCCTAAGAACTACTATCAACCTAGGGCAGTATGGTGAGTGGTTGAGGGTCAGTCCTATTAATGTGAATGGGTCTATATCCTCTAGTGGTCCTAATTCTGATAGTAGGTCTTTTGATAAGAATGCTGAGAGAGATAATTCTAATGGGCAGGAAAGAAGTGGCTTAAGGGATAAGAGGAATGAGGGGACTCTTGCTCTAGTTAATGTTGTTAAGCAACCTGAGGTTAATAATGAGCTAGGGGGGAGTTCTATGGATGAGAGTAGAATAGATCCTACTGGGGGAAAAAATTCTAATAGTTTCCAATCTCTGGAAACTATCCCAGAGGAGGCTAGGCTTATCTCATCTAAACTGGTGGACATTGATTTTCAGCATGGTTCTATTGGGGCTAGGGTGTTGCAGAGAAAACAAAAATCTTTTAAAAGAAAAGAAAAAAATGGGGAAAGAACTTGTGACTGAAAACATGGCTGTGAATGTTGATCTTGTTAATACTGATAAGATTTCTGGCCCCCTTTTGAAATCTAAAAGATCTTTAATAATCAGAGAAGGCTTGGAGAATCAAGAAGATCTGAATTCATCCAAGTCTAATAAAAAACCCAAATTGGATCTTCAAATACTGATTCTGTGGTGGAGGCAACCAACCCTAACTGGTCCCAAAGTTTTAAATGAGAGTATGTGTGTGGAATTGTAGAGGTTTGGGGGACCCTCTACAATTTCCCAATTTAAAGAGTCCCTTAGAGTTCACTCCCCAGATTTTGTTTTTCTTCCAGAAGTAAAAAAAAAAGAAAAATTTGTCACTGCTGTGTGTAGAAAACTGTGTAGAAAACTTAAATTAGAAGATAGATGGTTTTATAGCAAACCTTGTGGGACTAGTGGTGGTTTATTTCTATGTTGGTCTCAGAAGGTAGATGTTTTGGAGTTTAACTATTTTGATTTTGGTTTTGAAGTTAAATTTATTTTGGAGGGGCAAGATGAGTACCTAGGGGATTTTTGTTTATGCTAATTCCAATCAAGGTATTAGACAGCAGCAATGGTATTCTCTTCTTAGGCATAGTTTAACATGGGGTGATTCTTGGTTTTTAGGGGGGGATCTGAATGATATTATTGATAATCAGGAGAAGCAAGGGGGCAGTTGTAGGGAGGAGGGTAGTTTCAGAGGATTTAAGAATTTTATTTGTAAGTTAGGAGGAGTGGAACCTGTTATTTCTGGGTCTAAGTTCACTTGGTCTAATATGAGAAAGGGTATGGACTTCATTGAAGTCAAACTAGATAGGTTTCTAGTTTCCCCTAATTGGTTATTGAACAATCCCAACTCTAGAGTTCTTAATATTTCTATGGCATTCTCTGACCACAATATGCTTGTTTGGGAGTCTAATTGTACTGTTGAATCCCACAAAAAGAGATTTTTCTTTTACTCAAGATGGGCTAAAATGGAGGGGTTCTCTGAAGTTGTTAAAGAGGCTTGGGCTGCACCAGTAGAAGGGCCTGTTCTGTTTAGTATGAGGGGTAGGATAAAAAATGTGAAGAAAGCTTTGTTGTCCTGGAAAGGGGGTAAAAACTTCAATGCTCTGAATATCATTAACAACTGCAAGGGGGAGCTAGATAGAATGGAAGGGTTGGGTGGGCATAGGGATTGGGATGAGTGGGCTTTTTATAGGGATAATTTACACCTGGCTTACAAAATGGAAGGAGAATTCTGGCAGCAAAAGCTAGGGTGAACTGGTTAAAGGAGGGAGATAGAAATACTAGATTTTTTCAAGCTAGTGTTAGGCAGAGAAGAACTATGAATGGCTTGCAAAATTTAGTGAGAGTGGATGGGAGTAGGTGTGTTGGGAAGCAAGATACTGTGGAAGAATTAAGTGGATATTTTGATTGCTTGTTTAAATCCTCCAATCCTTTGGTAGATAATTGTGACCTCTCTGGTATCCCTGTTTCTATCACTAAGGATATGAATAAATCTTTAACTAGAGAGGTCAGTGAGAGTGAGATCAAGACTGCCCTTTGGGATATGGATCAACACAAAGCTCCTGGGTATGATGGGATGTCCCCTGCTTTTTTCCAAACCTCTTGGCCTTCCATAAAAACTGAATTGTGTGATGCTGTCAAAACTTTTTTCCAGAAAGGTAAAATGCCTAAACACTTGAATCATACAGTGATAACCCTCATCCCAAAAAAGAAAATTCCTCAATTTTTGCCTGACCATAGGTTTATCAGTTTATGCACTGTTGTCTATAGAATCATTGCCAAAATCCTTGCTAACAGGCTGAAAAATGTGTTGCATCATTGTATTGATCATGCTCAGTCTGCATTCATTCCTGGTAGACAAATAATTGATAATGTGGTGATTGCTAATGAGTGTCTGCATTTTCTAAATAGCAAAAGATCTGGCAAAGATAAATTTATGGCTATTAAACTTGATATGGCTAAAGCTTATGACCAACTTGAATGGAATTTCTTGGCTAAGGTGCTTAACAAAATGGGTTTTTGTGCTTGTTTCACATCATGGATCCTTGCTTGTGTGTGCTCATCTTCTTTTGCTTTTAATGTGCAAGGTTCTGTGTTGCGTTATGTCGTTCTTACAAGAGGTCTGAGACAAGGTGATCCCTTGTCTCCTTACCTTTTTGTGCTCATTTCTGAAGCTTTGTCTAACCTAATCAAACAAGCTTGTCAACTGAGATTGTTTTCTGGTGTTAAGATTGGTAAATTTTCCCCTTTGTTTCCCACCATTTCTTTGTTGATGACTCTATTGTATTTTGTAAAGTTGATATCCATCATGCTAATCTTATTCTTGATATTCTCAGAAATTATGGAGATGCCTCTGGTCAGTTAGTAAATATGGATAAATCATCTGTCTTTTTTTCCAAAAATGAAGCTGTTGCATTTGGTGGTGTAGTGGAGTCTGAGGGGAAGATACTTTTCAGTTGGCAAGAATGTAATGAAAGAGCTGGAGACAATGTAGAAGCCACATTAAGGGCAGTAAGATGGGGATTGAAGCTACTACACCAAACAGACTGTTCATCCTCCATTTGCTGCAGAGTGGATTCATTTCAGATTGCTCAATATTAAATTAGAAGAGGGAAGCAAACGGGGAAGTCCTTTCCATTGTGGATGATATCAAATACTTTGCTCAGCATTTCACCATTTGAAACTTTTTCTTTGATAAATTTGCTTGTATTTCTTCTTTAGATTTGGCCTTGAAGGCTTGTAAGAGGACCTAATGTAAGTTTCTCGTGGCTAATGGTTAGTCCATTTGTGTGTGTTGCTATTGTGCTTGTGCTCATTTGAGTACTCGATGTAATGACTTTGGTTCTGAGTTTTTATATTNGTATAATAATAATTTTATCAAAATGGTCAATTTAACATGAAATTGTTTTTATAATAAACATAATATAATACCGAGTTAATTGAATTGAACACAAATGTTAAAACTTAAGAGCTGTTAATATAAAAAAATTAATAATTAATATATATCAATATCTTAATTCAAAATAACTGCATTTTAATAAATAAACTTTAATTGTTACTTTTCTAAAAAAATATAATATATATTAGAATCTAAAATAGCTAATTTCAATAGAATATTATATTATCATCACTTAAACTCAAAAAAACTATTTTTAATAAATAAAATAAAATTCAATAATTTTTCTTTGAATAATAAAATACTTCTAAAAATATTAGGATTAAGTAGTAATTGCAGAATATTATCACATACTAAATTTCAAAAATTGTGATCCGACCATCTACATCCAAATGATGATTTCATTCAACTTTTTTATTATCAGTTTTTCCCTTTTTATCATTTTTTTCTAATGTAATTTATTTTTCTAATCCCTTTCTAGTATTTTTATTCTAATGTAACTTAATTTTCTAAGTCCATTAAAATGTGATTTTCAAATCTCTTTCTCAATCAATTAGTGCCAATATTCATACTTTTTATTTTAAAATAATATTTTTCATTATTTTAAAATAATAAAACAAAAGAATTCGATTGTTAGTTACCTATTTTACATGCGAAACGAATATCTTTCATTATTAAACATCATTTATTCACAACGGCATTCAAACAAATATTGCATTTATGCTCCAATAAGTGCAGATAAACATTAGTATTATTTATAAAAGAGTTAAGCATTTTCTAAAGTATTAGGTATCATAATAAAAAAGTTATAAAAGTTTATATATAAATAACTATTTCTATGAGTAAGGATCATATGAGAATTGTAGATAATGAAAGAAATAAGAATGGATCTGGACCATAAGATCAATCATATTAATGGTTAAGATGAAGTCAAAACATGGTCAATCATTAATGGCAATATGGTAATTTAACTTATATGATTGTTAAATATATGTTTTTGTCTACATATTAAGGATAAATATGTCATTTGCCAAAATTCCACTTACAAGTGGGACCCACACAAACACCACCCACCAAAAACACGTCACTTCTATCTCTCCCACACACTCACGTTTCTCTCACACACAGTATACACAAACACACACTCACAGAGATAAAAAACCGGCCACTTCATACCAGCACCACCATCTACCACCGGTAGCCTCGCCGCCGCTCCTTCGTAGACGTCCAGCCCATCAATATGCACAGATCGCCAGCCCCTCCACAAACACACACTGCCTACAGTCTGCACACACACACACACACACTTTCTGGGTATCCGAATCCTGCTGCCAACCTCAGGCCGCCCGCCGCGCTCCTCCCGGCATATCCTGCCGCCGTCTTCATATGCCTAGTCCCGCCATATCACTTCGACGGCCAAGGTTGAATAGCTAAAACATCGGCCGAGATTCAACCNAAAATAAAGTCGTCCCGCCGCCCACCGCAACCACCACCGGCCGCCGTCTTCTATATGCCCAGTCCCAGCAACGATTTATTTTTCTCCGGCAGCTTCTGCGGTTGTCTGCATTTGATAAACTCCGGCGAGTCTAACTCTAAGAGTGGCGTCCGGCAACGATTTGAAGGGATAAGGGAGGTGACGATCAGATTTTTTCCTTTTTTGGGGCTTTTTGTGAGACCAATTTTGGGGATGGATCTGCTTTTGGGGGCCGAAGTGGATAGAGAAAGGGATCCCATGTGTTTTGATGAGGAAGGAATCTGATTTGATCAATTGACCCATTTAAAAAAAAAAAATTAATTATGATATAAACAAATTAATGGTTTAAATGTTTTATATTCAATTATTTAAAATTAAATAAATATAAAATGTTGGCAAGTATATGCATGTAAAGAAAAAAGGTAAATAAAACCGACATTGATCCGTATTAACCAAAATTTTAAAATATAAAACGATAATCAAGTCGGCATATAAAGTTTTGAACCGAAAATTATATTTCAGTCAGTTTTAGGTTTGATTGCTATACGGTGGAGTATGTGAGACATTAATGTGCATTTTATCTAACAATATCGTGCACGACTTTGGCCGTTAATATTCTGCCTAGCAGACATTAACAATATCGTGAACGACTTTATACGGTGCAACATGTTGTGTTATAAGGTGCAACGCATTACTGTATAAAGTGCAACGTATTAATTTTGGTACGTTAGTATTTTTATGTTTTTCATAGATGATGTGATAAAGTGCAACGTATTGTTTTATACAGTGCCACATTCCGTTATATAAAGTGCACTATTTAATTTATACATTCTCATATAAATTATGTGTATAATTGTATATTGAATTAATCTAAATAATTAAAATAGCTTTTTTAATTATTATTTTTATTATAATTTATTTATTATAGTAAAATATTTCTATATTATTATGTATATTATAATACATTATGTATTTTAATATTTATGTTTAATAATTTATAATATTTTTAGTAGAAAATATAATATAAAAAAAAATATAAAAATCAGAAAATCTATAAAGTGCAATCGAACAGACAATAATGTGCAATTCGTCTAACATTATTGTGCAATCAACCGATCGAGTATTTTTTATGTGTTTCAAATTTATAAACTTCAATAATGTATACTTCAATTATCATTATTTTTTGAATTTATCAATTTTTTTATATCGTAAAAATATATTTAGTACTTATATTTTTTATATAATATTTTATATTGTGGTTTGTTAATGAATAAATAATATATATAACTAAAATAAAAGTAAAAAAAAAGAATCAAACCGACATGAAAATTCGCCCAAAAAATTTAGTCTGTACAGTTTCGGTTGTTGTTTTGCAATATAATTTATATAATTATTTATTAAAATAAATAATATGTAATCTATAACATATAAAAAAAATATTTTTTATATAGTTTTCTGCGCGAATTATACACTAGTGTACTATCTCACATGCATTAATATGCAATCCAAATAACTGTAATGTGCATTCGACATATATTTTAATTTTCATTTTTATACTAAAATAATTGACATAATTTATTATTTATATTATAAAAATTCAATTAATAATTCAAAAAAAATTATTTTTTATTCTATATTATTTTTTATATTACTTTAACATTTTAAGTTATTTGATTTTAATGTTTTAAGACATTATTTTAATATATATGATACAAAATTATACATTATAAATCATGTGCAATTTTAAATGTGATATGGTGCAATGCATTGAACATTAAAGTGCAATTATCAACTTTTATTAATTTACAAATTTAACCCATGAACTAAATTGTAATATAGTTAAAGTGCAATTTTGTCTAGCAATATAGTGCAGTTTGTATAGTGATATTTGTAATGTGCAATTTCGAACGCGATATGATGCAATACACTTTACAATTAAGTGCAATTATTAAAGTTCTATTAAATTACATATTTTACATATGAACCAAATTGTAATATAATTAAAATTTATAAAGCTTTCAATTAACTTCAAATAACTATAAAGATAGTTAATTATATCAATTAACTATAATTATATCAACTAATAAAATTTATTAACATTTACATATTCTACCATATGCACTCTGCCGTTTGAAATTGCCTCAAACCTATCTAATTTCATCTTGAATCCGTCACTAGTAAGAAAGCGAAGGAACGGAAGCAAGTTAGCGAATCACTTGAGATACATTTTTGGTATCGTATCGGTGGTACTAGATAAGCTCGAAGGGAGAATCTCTTTTGAATTTTCATTTTTCCGTCCATTTTGCCGATGATATTCGGCCGCGTCGGCCTCACGTCCATCATCTCCGCCGTGTCGGAATGCCATAGTCGGGTAATTGTGCTATTCATCATCAAGAGATATGATGACCGATTGAACGAATGCTTGGACAAAGCCGAATCGATCGGCCGTGAATTTCTGTGAGTTGAGGCCCAAATCTGTTTGAATCTCTGTTGGTCGATTTTGAGGTCGTCGGAGGATGGTGAATCCGGTGAGCAGCGTCGCGGGCCTCTTCTGGACAGGAACTTCGGCTATGGATCGACTGGAGATGGCTCGACAATTTCGAGCGGCATAGTGGCGGCGGCCGAGGTCGGTTTCGGTGGTGTGCTTTTGTGGAGGAGGCATTCTTTGAGATGGCGGCGGCGGAGGTGGTACAGGCCGGCGGCGGGGCGGTGATCGGCGGGCCAAGTTGTGACGGCAAGTGTGTGTGAGAGTGTGTCTGTGTGTGTGTGTGTGTGTGTGTTTGTGGGTTTGTCCGTGTGAAAGACAGAGGGGATGGGGTGGGTCGGATCTGATAGGTGGGGCCTCTCTTTGGTATAATTAAAAAATGTCCAATTTACCCTTAATCAGTATAAATGTTGGGTTTTATTTAAGCGGTTAGATTATCCGATCGGACGGTTAAGATGTATTCTTATTTCTTTCATTGAGAATCATTTTCACCGGAACGCGACCCACTATTTTATAATGTATATAGTTTATACATTGTAACTTTAATTAATTAAAAAGTTATGATCAATCCAATTCCAACAACTTATTTCAAGTGACTCGTGCATTGACTGGTCATTCACTAGTTTCACTGCAAAAATACAAACTCTTTGCCTTCTTTCTTTTTTTATGTATATTATATTTATTATTTTTTCGTCAAGGCCACATGTATTATTACAAGGTCTCCTACTAGAGCTTTTCATCATAACCACTCGTCAAAACGAAGGGGAAAGAAAGATGTGCAATGGCATCATTACTGCCAGGTTTCATCCTACTCATTCGGCAGGGAAATACAATAACTTTCAATCACCCTTCACCACATTATTTTTTTTGTCAGAAAAATATCATGCAAACACTAAATAACAAAAGGAAAATATTGTTTTCTGCAAAAACAATATGTAGCATCATTAAACTGCGACTGCAAGTTAAATCTTCGTCCCTGATAATTACATATCTAATTTAAACAGACACCAAACACTGGCTTTCTGGGACTTGACTAGAATAACTTCCCTCCGAAACAAATAATACCTTTACAATAATCAAACACTTGATGCCTGAACATTGGCCACATCAAGATAAATAATAATAACCATAAACAAAAATAGAAAAAAAGAAAAAAATAGCAGTCGAGTTTATTCTCCCTTGACCATGAGTGAATGATGGGGTACGCGCTTAATCTCGATAAATGACGAGAACTCTTTGTTCATTGGTTGTTTCCATGGTTCACCATCCATTTGCATATATGCCTCTGTCCACTCTCCTCCCCTTAACTCAAATCTAATAGCAGAAGCCTGCAGCATAAAGTATTATCCAAAAATGTGAGGTCGTAACATTAACCAATAAATTTGACAATAGATTTAATTATTAAACAAAGTTAGATACCCTTCAGATTTAGTCTTATTTAGAGGAGAAAAACGTCTAGCTTTCAAAGCTAGAAATTTCCCATTGATATTCATGTCTGTTTTACATCGCCCTCATTGAGATTTTTTGTTAGCAAATATATAAACTTGTAAAATTGCACTGGAAATGGAAAATAGTGTATACAAAGTGTCACTGGTGCACTAGTTTCTTTACTTCCTCAACTTTCGCCCATTTGTAAAATTTTACAAAACCTTTTTGTTTTCATATCAAGTCCTTGCTTTCTCCTTTTCTACTGTGTATACTTTACAAGTTAAGGTAACATTTAATTAGAGTGGTCATGGTACCTGGATTATGTGTTTTGCCGAGATTAATTCAACCATAACCATGGAGGCATGCCATCCTTGTTTGAAACCAAAAACTTCTAGAAAACCATCATCAGCACGGGCCTCAACAAACCCCCTCTGTTACATACATCATCAAAATAAACTTTCCTCCACAAAGGAAATCATTCATTTCACATACCATTTCAAAGGAAAAAGGGAAAGAAAAGCTAAATCTCAATGATAAAAGTTTGGCAGCTGTTTCAACAAAGGGAACAAATTTTTGAAGTAGAATTTTGGTGTCTCACTTATTCTACAGGCATTTGCCACTTAAATTTTACTTCTCAGATTGAAATTGAAAGAATATAATTAAAAACAGAACAAATCAGTTATT